TTATTTTTTTGCTCCATTAGGGATGGGAATCAAGAACCGGTTTGCAGTAATTTAATTACTTGGAATCGTTAAGCTCCTAGATCCTGGTTAATGTTGGTGCCATACAAATGAATAATCTCCATCTTATATTAACATTTATGGTCGGATTCAATAAATTAAAATATTTTCTGACGAGGCTTGTTTATTATATAAAAAGGACCAAAACTGTCCTGCAGAAAGTTGCATTTCATGTTAAGATGCTCATTTGACAGATTCTTATTGTTTAAGCAAGTTTTAACTTGGTTTGAATTGAATTCGACATGGTTTTGAAAGATTTTATTTCCCAACTTGGTGAGAATCGATAAGAAAATTGATAAATTCTCATTAATTCCCATCAGAATTCGTTCTCACCTCTCCAAACAGACCGGATTTTCAGACAAACAGCCTGGAGTTTGATGAAATCGGACTGATCGGGATTGGTGTGAATGCTCCCTTAAGGTGATACTGAAAACATCAGAGGCTGTTTGAGTGATACAGTTTGCACAAGCTGGGATGCAGCCATTGCAAACCCAAAAGATGGGATTGAGATCACAGATTAATGAAGATTACACTCACAGCTATTATAGGCCACGGGATGAATCGCGTTTGACCCGGTGTCCCATCAGAAGGCAATAAATCAGCTGGGAAGACGGCGGTGGATGATCAGGTCACCTCTCTGTGACATGGGAAACGGAGATATACGAAGGTCACAGGGTGTTTTCCTTCGATACGAATTGTGTCTGTTGGAGGCGTCAAAAAGAACCAACACATGTGAAAGACTCGAGTTCAATCATCATTTGTGATCCCAGCCTTCCCCCGAGAGACGACGAGTCAATCAAAGCTTCAATCTACAACGCCAGACTCCGATGGTGCTGAATTGTGGGCAGACTGGGATCAGGCCTGGGATTACACACCAGACCCGGATCTCACATTCTTAGTATTCTTCGAATGCAAACATGCACGTCACCCCACATGCAGAGGGCTGACCCCTCTTTTCAGAACGAAGCGTGCAGATCCCATGCTTAGTGACCCCAACCTGCCCCAGCTTCCACTTCCCACTGCCATCTCTCCCTCTGTCCCTCCTGTCCCTTTTTATATTTCAACGACTACCTTCCACTCATCCGTCCTCCCCTTCATCTGCCGTGGGAACCTACACCTGTGGCTCTCCCCAGGCAGCACAATCACGTCTTCACCCCGCTCATTGTTAAGAGTTGGATACCTTCTTGAAGACGGGTTTTATCTCGTTGCATTAAGCGAAGATGCTCCATGTTTTTCTGCCATGTCCCAATTTTCCAAAACTAGGATTCCTCTGCCTAAATCCTCTAATCCATCAGGGGAACAAGTAGGATTTTGGTGCTTTGACCTAAAGTGTGTTCTTTGCCTTGACAGGCTGATATCAAATATTTCTACCTTGATGAAAGACTTGAAGTCGGGCAGATTGAGATCACGTTTGTTTTTTCTGAAGTGCATCCCATTTGGATTTGCTGTGAGGACTTGATGGAGGAAACCCTGGCGGCCGTCCTGCAACTGTCCTGCTCAGGCTCGGCAGCACACATGCTGACACTAATTGTCCTCGTGCTGACTGCATCTCTTCATGGACAATGGTTTTGATTGGAATGGGGGTGAGTTACGGTGTTGGGACAAGGGTCTTTGTTTGGTAGCCTTTTCCCGTTCCCTCCCCCAACCCTCCCCTTTATCCCCCTGCCCATCCATCTATCTTGTTCCGACCATTTGGGCAGCTGTCACTTAATCCAGCTAATCACAGACTGGGATGGTCTGTGGGAAACCAGTCTAGTCCATGGCTTTGCTCCTCTGACTTGAATCATTTACAGCATGTAGGCATGCAAGCAACTCTAGATCTTTGTGAAGCCTATAAGTAGTTTTTATATAGATTTATGAAGTTTCAGCCAATGATTGCCAATCACTTCCTTTTCTATGCATTGGCATACACACCCACACACCAACCCACGTGCTCAGACCGGAGCAACCTGCCTTTCCTTTTGTGGCGGGGGGGATGGGTGGAAAGGTCAGAAGCCGAGCTACGTGTCGTGGGATGATGCACGTTTATGTCACATAATCCATTGCCGGAGCTGCATCTGCTGCACGCCTGCAGTTGGATTGATGGTTTACCGAGACATTACCTGAAGTTTGTCTCACTCTTTGGTTTACACTTTGGTAGTTTCTACTTCTTACCTGTTGATTTGGGGTCTTGCATCTTCCCAGCTACTCTCTCATCAGCCGTGGTCTTCCACAAAAACACTCCCCTCCCCTTCCTCCTGCCACAACCCACAGCCAGACAAGCCTGCTTAATCCTACAGCCCAGCAGCTACCAGCTTGCAGGTCCCCCAGATCAACAACAGACTTACAAACACACACTTTGCCATCTTTCCCTCGCTGCTTTCTTGATTCATGCATTTGCAAATCCATTTTTTCCTCCCCTCAACCAACCCCCGCCCCGCTCCAATATCCCGTCGGTGACATTACACTGGAGGTCACAGCAGTCACACTATGGGTACTACGACTGTCACTGGGAGTGATGTAATGACTGCTATTTAGGTCAGCTGGTTGCCTAGCAGTGATGCTGGTTTGTGTGTGTACATCTATTTACATTTACTCAAACAAGTCTGTCCTGTGATTGTCCAAAATGCAAACAGTTTTACATTCTTTATGGGCTAAAATATAAAAAAATATATTAAAAATTTAATCATTCTATCATTTCCAATCATGTTTTTAGGCCACACCAATGAACTGTGCAGATGATGAAAAATGATTTGGTATTGATAGGCTTGATTTATCCAAATAGTTTTGCTTCTGTTCAAAATTGTTGAAGTTTTTGAGTGTAAATTTGATAAGCAAGCAAACAATGTTCATCAACACGCTTCAAGTGTAAAGCATAACTTGGTGTGAAACGTGATAATCCACTTACCGGTGATTTAACTCCCCATCTGACAACCAAGGGCAAAGCCGGTCCATGCAGTGCACATCATCATGCAGGCAGAGTCACTTTATTGGCAATCAGACCTGCAGGGGACAAAGGGAAATTGATTTTAATATTCATCAGGAAGAAACTGAAGCTCATTTGCATCAGAAAAATGATGTGAAATATTTTTATGTTTTTTGTACTTCCTAAAGGAAGCTCAGTGTTTGGCAGTAATCTACCCTGACCCCAGCTTCAGGTCATTATTGTGGTTTTTATCCAGATTAACCATTTTCAGTGGCGGGGGGGCTTGCTCTGGAATTGCAGCACCCCCACTTTTAGTTCCTTACTACTTAAAAAAATCTAAATTTTTTATAACAACTTTTATTAAAATATGTTTAAAACAACCCTGCTTTTTGACTTGAGTACAACTATCAAATGGGCAAACGGTTTACTTTAAACTGTTTTTTACTAAAGTCTGGATGATTAATTGTCCCAGAAGTTATTGCGATAAACCGTAAGATCGTCTTGAGAGCCTTTTCTGGTAATATAATGGTATAAAAAAGAAAAAAAAGTTACATTTTAACGAACATTTAAGACTGGAAAAGGAAGACATCTTAGATATGCAAAATAAATAAATTAGAAATGACAAATAAAATGAATTATAAAGTCTGTAAACAAAATTGTCCTTCAGAAAAAGAGCAAAGCAAAAACTGAAGACTTTCTGTCATTCAGTTTTTGGTTGAAAGAGGAAAAAAGAAATGAATCATACTAATGGAAATTATTGAGCTTGTTTTAATTTGATTGATTTACTGGTTATTGTCACAAGCTTCAGTTTTTATATTAATCAGAGAGCATGGTAACCCATAATTCTCCTTTTTTCCTATGCAGCAAAAGGTTTAGTTTTCTTCAAAATAGGAAAGATTAGAGAACATGCCATTCAAGCAAACTAGAGTAAAGGTAAAATAATTATTCTCCTAAACTTGTCCCCATTTGCAGCTACAAAATATTTTTAAAAAAATCATTAAAAAAAAAAAACACCAATTATCCACATTTTGCTTATTTGTCCGTTTTGTGTCAAAGTGGGAATTTGTAGAAGCTGAAACACAACAAAAGTGTTAAAACTCCTTTTATTTATGGTGTTTAAGAATCTGAATCGATACAAAACAAATTCCCTTTGGGATCAATAAAGTATCTTTGAACTTAAATTTGTGCCTCTGTATTCTGCAGTCAAAGAGTTTAAAACTGCTGGAACTGATAAAAATGAACAAAGTTTTTATTTTCACATCCTAAAGAAAATTTTATCAGCATTTACTTCCATCTAGAATAAAAGTTGAGATCTCCAGCTTATTTAGTTCAGTCACAAAACCACATTGACTTTCTTTTATTAACCACCTTTCCTTGTAGTTTTATTTAAACTCCTTGTAATGACTCCAGTTACAGCTTGTCATTTATAAAACCATTTAAAATCTCAACCCGTTAACAGGTTCAAAGCTCATTCTGATAACAACCTGCAAGTTTCCCTCCTGAGCTGAAAAGTGCTGATATTTTTACGCTCCATGCAGAGCTGGAGGAAAGTTTGATGGAGTTGATGGTTGATGCTCTTCGCTCTTCTCCAGTTGCTGCTCTTGGCTGCTGACTGTTGGACCTACTGTAGCATGTTCTCTTATTTCTGAATCATTGGGTTTCATTGGGGCTGTAACTCTAGCGGTACTCTGTAGTCAAGCCAAGTTGAATACCAGACTCTGTAGTGGCAATAAAATTGATTTTTGCATCATCTGTTCGAATGCGTGTCTGACGCTTGTTCAAGAATTAAGTGACTGAAATGATGCTCCGCTGCTTTTTGCTGATGTTTCCTTTGCAATAAATCCAAAGTTTTGTGTTTAGACTTGTGCTCCGTATTTTTCTGGAACAAAAAACATGATTTGTAAAATATATTTTTGTACTGAAATGATGCCTCTGGAGTAAATTATTGTTTTGAGACGTATGAAGAGTAAAGTCTGTTTTCTAAATGTAATTCTCATTGTGCCGCTCACTCTTTTTCTTTTTTTTTTCTTTTCTGCAGCGAACTTTTACGTTGATTGTTGAAGCCTGGGACTGGGACAACGACACGCGCAGCAGTAAGTTCATACTTTATAAGTTATTCATTTTTAATCCGTTTTCCTTCAGTCTTTTCTAGGCGTTTTTATTTATTACAGCGGTAGTAACTGTAAAGTAATCGTTTGAAACAAAATATTAATACTTTCTAACGACATCAGAGACATTTGAAGTAAAGATTTGAGGCTTGTATAAAAACTATTGAACACAATTTAGTTATTTCATTCCAAAATGTGAAGTTGAATAAATAATTCCCAATAAATAAAGATGATTTCTGCTTCTGAATTGCTATTAAGCTACATAATGTGGAAACATTGTTGTTTTTATTTCATATTAATATCATTGCTTCACTAAATGATGCAGAAACGCACTTGTATCAGATATATTGAATTGTAATTTCATTATTCTATCCCTTCAGTTCTTCAGTTCAGTTGATTTTTTTAAAGACTTTTTGCACAGCCTCATTTTGATAATCGAATATGTACCATTTTCCCAGCAAACGTGTGACTGATATCAAAATAAAAATGGATTTTTATTGATTTGAGAAACCAGTACATTTAATTAAAGGGAGGCCATGTCAAAATTACGGCTGCAACAAACTATTATTTTAGTAATTGGTTGATTTGTCAATTAATCGGATTTAAAAAAAAGCCACATTATACAGATTTTTCACTTAACTACCTGACTTTTTTATACACAATATTAGAAATGCATGAAAAGAAATGAATAAGTTTATTTCTTTAAATAAGACAAAATAAACATTTTATTGCCAGAAATGCAATAAAACTGCATTAGTTTTAGTAAATTTGATCTGGGTAAAGCTAACAGAATATTACTTCGGGAATTTTTTCTTTATCACATTTACAGACAAAAGTGATTTATCTAAAATGTAAAATGTATATACATATTTTTTTGTACAGTTTTGTCCTACTGCAGATTATTTTTTGGGGGGTTTTTGTACTTAAAAAATAACTAAATTAGTTGACGATTATTTGAATAATCATGATTAATCTGATTAATCATTTCAGCTCTGGTCAAAATTAGAAACTTGGAAAAAATTTTTGAAAATTTCTTGAACTAATTGGAAAGACCAAATGAAAAGACGCAGAAGTTTGTTCAATTAGAAGAAAAATGGTAAATTTAGTTCCAGGATTTTAATGTATTTTCAATGGTTTGGTGAATGTGAATGTTTGTGTTGGCAGAAAATTCCAGAATAGTTTTTCTTCAGGTTGGAGTTTACGCTAAAATATTTCACAGTGCAAACCTTGACTGTCGGTATGTTGGCTCTGATGGTCAGCTTTGACCAGCTATATCCTGTTTTTTTTTTTCTTTGAGTATGTCCGCCTGGTGGACTTCTTTAAACATTTTATTCCACATCTGTGCAGAATCCCTGTCTTGAGGTGGAGCAATCATCAGCTGTAATATCCGCATGTCTGAATGCGGCTTTGATCTGCAAAGATACCAATAATTAGTCAGATTCTTCTACGTGTTGATTAACGACGGTTTCTGATCATCTTGTGTTTATTTGAGGTTTTTGCATCCTGTTTTGGCGCCCTCATCAAACAGACTTCCGCCTGTGGACGGAGACAATGGAGAATAAATAGATTTTGACATCACCACTCTTTGATTAGCCGTGCGTCGTCTTTTGTTGCTGCATTAGTTGAGTAAATTTGCGGCTCTAATGGATCGGAGGCCTAATTGTTGCTCGAAACATTCCAGTCGGTTTCCTTCCAGCCTGAGCCAAGTCGCCGTAAAGAACGTAGATGGATGTTTCTGGTCCGAGTGTTTAAAGCGTTTTAAATCAGGATGTCACTTGATGTTAATCAGTTACTTTTTTTTTTTTTAATGTTGGTATTATATGTTTAGTGTCAAAAACGGACTCTGGCTATCCCAGAAAATATTTGGAAAAAATTGGTTGAACTGATTAAACTCATATTTTTTTGTCTTAATCCTCAATCTCTAATATGTGATCTAGAATTATTTTCAATATCAGGACCAATAAAGGTATTGGTAAATTTACTGCCACCATCATACATACGTCTCAGCTGATGGGTTAACAGTTGCGGTTTGGTATGATTGGCAATTTAAGAGTTTCTACCTAAACTGTGAAACAAAAAAGTGAATTTCTGGTCTTTAGAAGGTAATGGGGTATGGCTAATTTATTAAGGCACTTTACAGCAGTATTTGTAATGATTAGGGCTGAAAAATGTATTGCGGTAAAAGTATTTCATATCAGTTGATCAATAATTGTCAATATTAACTATTAATGTATTTTTTTATATATCTGAAATGCTGCCAAACTTTCCTGTTTCGTCCACAATTTCACTCCTATACTCTTTTAAATATTTAGGCAGTTTATTAGGCAGAGTGGTGGAAGTTACTCAACAAGTTGTTGCTAGGTAACCGAAGTTTGGCGGAACTTGTAACTGCTTGTGGTTGCTAGGTAACCAAAGAGCGAGAGAGGGAGTTGATTCCACCAACTTTTCTTGCTTCGTTGAGCAGCTAAACCTGTGTTGAGTTTTCTGTTCATCTTGACACTAAGCTGAAACTGTTGAATAGATAAAGCAGTTTGATTTTTTTTTTTATTTTCGATCCAGCTGTTTTTTAATTTTATAAAAAATAAAGAAAATATTGGAGAAATGAACCTTGTTCTTTATTGGCAGCGTTATGTTGCCGTAGTCTTCTAAATACGTTTCGGAAGAAAAATAGAAGTTTAAATTTTCCCTTTTTCTCCTGAAGTTGCTTGAAGTTTCTGAAAGTGAATCTACAGTTTGGCTGAGTGGGATCTGGATATTTGTCGAGACTTGCTTTCAGCAGAGCTGCACATTTTTCTGAGAGGTTCTGCATTTTGTAGTTGGGTAGATCACGCCTTCTGTGGAGGTTAATGGAGCATACAGCTCAATTTTTAATTTCAATTTGTATTTTTTCCTTTGCATTGTTTGGACCCATATTTGTTTTAAAAGGTCAGGTTAAGGTCAAAGGGTGAACATGTCAAAGAACGAAGTCCTGAGGTGCAACATAAAAACAGATCTTTAGTCTCATTATATTGTTATTATATAAGAGAAATTGGTTAGTTTTCAACCGACCAACTAGCATCACTATTATATTATCCTATAAACTGATTAAGGGTGTGTCTCCCTTTGAGGTTTTTTTTTTTTTTTATATCCCAAGACTTTCCTCTTCCTCATTGCCAGACTCACTGGTCATCCAGACGCTGTGTGTTGTGCATACATCACCTTGTATGCAGACTCACTAAACGTTCAGTATTGACGGCATGACTCTACAAGTCTAATAGACATGAAGCTGAACACGTCGGCCATGACTCAGCACGCCGGTCTGGTTCTACATGAGAACCGATGTGTGGGTCCATCAGTGGATTCCTCTCCTCCACCGTCACATCCTCCCGTCTGCCTCTACACCCCCCCATCCCACCGCGTCCTCAGGAAAGGCAGCTGGCTGTTTTCCTTGTGTTTATCGAACAGGAAGTGGAGCGGACTGGGCGAACTGGCCCACTGTTTAGACACTTGGTTGCAGAGACCGGCTTGGGCCCAGAGCCCATTGTTCTCTATCTGGCAACTGGCGAGGGTTATTTCTGTTGTTGTTGTTGCTTAATTCTGTCTGACATTGTGTAAGTCCCCAGCAGAGGAAGGTGCAGGCATGTGTGTGTGTTCCTGTTTCCAACGAGTCCAACACTGTGGAGAAAAAGAAATCACGGTCCCCGCTCCACAGCGATTGTTTGTCTGCTTTGAGCTCGCTTTGATAAATCAGATTGTTTTCCTGATGCTGGGTTTCTCAGAACGTTGTAAGCTGACAAAGATGAACATGAGTATGGAGGCCTAAAACGCTCAAATGATGGATAAATGAAATGGTTTTCAGTTGGTTACTTGATCAACTGGTAATTTTCACATTTTCTTAGGGCTGTCTTGACAAATTTTGATGGGCAATAAATTGTCACTGTAATTATTGTGATAAACGATAAGAGTTGTTTTTGTGACCATTTTCAAGATATACATCATCAGCACTGCAAGAAACACAAGTATTTTTGGTTTCATTTCTTTGTTCGCTTGAATTAAGAAAAAACTAACTTACAAGTAACTTTTCAGAAAGATTTAGGAGCTTGTTTCAAGTCAAGTCTTCCTTAATATTGATGGAAAAAGTTCTAGTTCCACTGGCGCCGTTACCTAGCAACGCCAGCCACGCCCCGTCCGTTACCTAGCAACGCCAGCCACGCCCCGTCCGTTACCTAGCAACCCACTGGCAGATTATTTCCTACAAACATGGGGAAAATGTCATTAGTGAAATAATCTGACAATGGAACAGGAACTTTTTCACCAGTTTATGGAATTATTGACTTAAAACAAGTCAGATTTCTTAAGTTATCTATAAGTTAGTTTTGTCTTTTATAAATGCTAAGATATTTACACTAGAAACTGGATGTGGTAAGATTTTTTGTCTTCAAAATTGATAAAACAAAATTAAAAACCGTTCTTCAGCTAAAGTGGATTATGAAGTCTGTAAAAATAAAAATATTAATAATCAGAAGGGAAATTTTGAGCCCATTGTAATTTATCATGTGATTGTGACGGACCTACTCCCTCTATCTGATATCAAAGTATTTTCTCAAATGAAAACCGTTTGGATCAACTTGTTTATAACTTAGTTTTCATCATAAAGCAGTTTTCACATCACTATTTTAAATAATTTCATTGCCTTCAGCAAATATTTCATTGGCTTTCAAGGCATTTTGGAAGGACAACATGCAACAATCAAGACTTGTTGGTTTTTTAACCCCAAACTTAACTTGAAATGGTTCTTACTACTTATTTTCTTTCATGTGTTGTTTTTTTCCTTTGGGAAACGGAGGGGCAATAAGGTGCAGTTTGCCTTTCATTTACTACCTTGCATTTAGACTGTCACTTAAGATCAAAGTTGGAAGTGGCTGAATTTGGCCTTAAAGACGGGGTGTGGAGTTCAATCAGTAGAGCTGCTGCACCTCTAAGGCAAAGTGAGTCCATTCAGGTGCTGAACATCTAATTAGGCGACATCGTTTGAAGATTTTCCGGGCGTGTAGCCCTGGAGCAGAACCATTCACTGAGGGACCTGATCCATCCCATCAGTCCTGGGTTGATGGCTCATTTGATCAGCTTTTGTTTCCCAAATCGGGTTTAGGGTTAATTTTTTTTCCTCAAACTTTTATGCAAACTACATCGACTGGACATGGTTTCATGTTCGTTTCAGACGGTGAGGAGCTGCTGATCGAGCGCGGCTTTCACACCGGCATGATCAACCCCGGCGATCCCTGGCAGACCAACCGCCATGACGGGCCGGTGGCTCGCCTCGTCTACCGCATCCGGGTGCGCTGCGATGAGAACTACTACGGGAACAAGTGCAACGAGCTGTGCAATCCTCGGGATGACTACTTCGGACACTATCGCTGCGACGCTTCAGGAAATCGGGTTTGTCTGGACGGCTGGATGGGCAAAGAGTGCAAGACAGGTCAGCTCAGAAAACACTTTACCAACTAGATTATAGCTGTGGAACCGACTGCTGGTCCAACCTTTTCTATAGATCATTGGTGGTTCAGTATGAGTTATAAAACCATGGTTGTGTGAATCTCCAGAGTGGAGCTTGATGGCATACTAGGGCCATTTTTGATGGAAAGAAAAAGGAGCAGATTTCCACCAAAAATTTGGGATTTATCTCAGAAATGTCCTTTTTCTTGAGTTCCAGAAGTCAAAATAGTTCAAGAAAAAAAACTCTGATTTTCTAGAAAATACAAGGACATTTCTTAAATTGGTCTAAAAATTTGAGTTCCAAAAGATGAAAAATTTCAAGAAAAAAACTAAAGTGTTTTAGATTAATTTCAGAAATGTAATTTTTTTCTAGAAAATTTGAGCTCCAAAAGTCAAAATTCCCGAGTACCTTAAGTCAAACATTAAAGAAAAAACTAACATGTTTTTAGTCAGTTTAAAATTTTCTAGAAAAGTTTAAATTAATTTCAGAAATTTTCTGGAAAAAAACTTGGAAATTTCAGACTTTTTCTGAAACTCAAATTTCAAAATTTCACAAGTCAAATACGTTCCACTTTTAAAAATGGGCAACTTTTGAAAGTGAAATTTCCAATTTTGTTTTTCTAGAAAATTTCTGAAATCCAAAATGACTTTTGTAGCAAATTTAACTTTTGAAGCTTAAAAACATGTATATGTTTAGAGATTAAACTCAAAATGTAAGTTTTCTTAGAATTAATTTTTTCCCGATGAGACTCAGAATTTGAGTGGATTATTTTTATTTTAACTGCAGTGGGCCTGACAGTGAAGACTGGGGGTCCTCTGTAAATCATTCAGCTAACCTTGAAAGGTGTGAAAAGACGCTGGTGAAATGGGTGGAGCTGTTTTTAAAAGCTGGGTAGAGTTTTACATGCAGGTCGTAAAGTTGTCCCTCGTTTCAGAGCGCCGTTAGTAACCGTGTCTTTGCATTCGGTGAAATTATGCTTTTCCCACCTTCACCGTCCATTTGTGACATTTTTCAATGTGAGAATTTAACGTTTTCCTCGTTTTTCTCCAGCGATCTGCAGACAAGGCTGCGACCCGGTAAACGGCAACTGCTCTGCTCCAGGCAAATGCGAGTAAGAAACGTTTTTTACTTTTGAGCTCCTGGTGGCAGATGTAATCATGAATAATGTATTTCTGGTGTTTTGGTATCAGATTGTTGCCACTTTGAGACAGTTTTATGTTTAAAGGGGAATCCTGCAGCATTTTGAAACCACAAAAATCTTGCAGACGATGAGAAAAGTGTAGATCTGACATCCTGAACAGAAGCAGCATCAGCCTGGTGAGGCTTGTTGTTTCCAGCCTCTCCTTCCCTTGTGGGCATCTCCCTGATCTCTTCTGAAGGCGAGGCCGAAGCCGCTCCGGCCTCCTGGTATTTTTAGCAGCTCGAGATCCTCCTCAGAATACCAAGCGCCTCATCGGCTCTCTGCACCTTGGACCGCAGAAAGACGCTGCGCCGTAAACCGTGCCGGGAATCGTCAGACCCCGGTTTCCCCCCTGTCCGCATTGCAGTCCTCCTTGAAGGGCAAGGGGCAGCGGAGGAAATGATACCCGCTGTGTCATTTACATTCCCCTAAAGTGGAAATGACGGTTAAATACAGTGACCGTTCCTGCTGGTGCCTTGTTTCCAGGATGCCTGCACATCCCGTTGTCATCTGTGGAAACCCTTCTGTCCACCTGCCGGATGTGACGACGCTCTCCACGACTTAAAAAAAAAACTCCTGGGCCAAATTTTGACTTTATCAGAGTTTTGACTGTTTCTCAAAACTTAATTGTTTTTCTTTTAAGATATTTGACTTATTTTCTCAGAATTTTAATTGGGATTTTTTGTAATCAATTTTGATGTTTTTTTTACCTCCGATTTTTACTGGATTTTTTTTTTCCAGAACTTTTCTCAGAATTTTGATTTATTTTGTTTTTTAAAACTGAATTTTGACTGGAGTTTTTCCTCAAAATTATTTTATTTTATATCAGTATTCTGACTTTGAATGCAGACTTGAAATTTTGGCTTTTTTTCCCCAGAATTTTGACAATTTTTTTCTTTTCCATGTCGTTTCTCCAATTAGTGACAGTTTTGCTGCAAATTCTGACTTTAATCTTCAGATCAATATTCAATTTTTTTATTTATTCCAGTGGCACTAATAGTCTTCCGTATAACCCAGTGTTGGAACCTGCTTCTCGTTTTTACACGTCCGCCTCATTCCGGTTGGTGAACTGCGACTGATTCATGTAAACCGTCAACAGGAAGAGCGACTTGAATAGGGGAGCGGCAGTAAAAAGTTCGTCCTGCAGGAGCATGAATTTAATGATTCCCCAGGGCACAAAAAGCTGGCATTAAATCATTTACCACCTCTTTTTTTGTTCTATATTCGCCCGTGTACGTCACACCTAAAAGCTGCTGCACAAAAGCTGGTGTGTGTCGGCTTTTACTTTGCTCCATTCAGACCGCGCCGCTTTGGGCCTGTTCCGACACATTTAAGAGGCTCGTCCTGAAAATCACCTTGGATCTGCACAACATTTTTCTTTTTCACAAAGATTCAGATGTTGTGGGTTGGAATCCATTTTATTTTGCAACCCAGCTCTGCCTACTGGGGACCATTTTATCTTTTATCATGATGATCTTATAAGAATTTTGTATTTGCATAGGAGCAAGATGCATAAATATCACCTTACCAGATTATAACATAAGCTACTTTGCATCTGCAGTCTTTTGACAAGTTACAAAATGCAATAATAAAATAAAACAGAATGTATAAACTGCTTTCTAATCACTGTGTACATACAGTCATACAGCTAAATTTTGCATTTCTGAGCAGTTTAACAATATTTTCAGGTTGGATTTGAAAACTTGCATCATTTTGAGTTATCATGGTGAATTCCAACTAATACTTAAAAACAACCAAAAATAACATTTTTATTTTACTGTTTTCTCCATTCAATGGTGAATAAAGTTGAAAACATGATTAAATTCAGTTACTGTGTGCAGCCTAGTGGTACAAATCAAACCCGTTTGTGATTGGGTCACAGTTACTACAGACACTAATCACAGCCATACAGTTATCTAAAAAAGTAGTAATATTGTCGCTTTTATCCTTATCAGAATAATGCCACAAAATATCGTGAAACTTTTAAGTCTATGTAACAAACCCCTGGATTTATTTTGCTTTCTTGTCCAGAAATGTGCAACAAAACCCCAAAATCTTACCAAGGGTTTTAGTTTCTAGTGACTTTGAAATAAGGCTCATATCTTCCAGAAAAGTTACTTTATAAGTTAGTTTTGTCTTACTTGAAGCCTCATTTCACTTGGTAAGATTTAGTTTTGCAGTGCTGGAGAGTGGCTGGTTTCCAAAGTCTTGGTCTCTCAGAAAGGCAGCGGTGCCGTCTGCAGGGGGCTCAAAATAGCCGCCAATTGACAAGGCAGCTGTCCCGACGACACCGCAGCTTTGGAATAGCAGCGTACGACTCTGTGGCTGCGCTACACCGACTCTGTGTGTATATACACAGTTGTCTCCAGCCACTCACTGCCTGAGCGAGTTTACCACCCTCGAAGCCGTCACTCTCCTTCAAAACCAGACTCCTGCTTGAGCGCGGGAGCCCATGGAAGTATACTTAACCTCTCCTGCCCTGGAATGTCAACATACACTGGGATTGCTTGGCAGCAGGCCATGGGAGCAGGACGAGTCCATCTCCAGATCAATTATATTAGGGCTTTGTTCTAGGATGCATTCATTACCAATGAGTTGACCCTTTTTGCCACATTTATCATGCAGTTTGAGGATTTATTCAACGATTAATCGGATTGACGTCTTTAAATGCCACCAAACTTCTATAAAACCCATAAATCAATTCAGAGATTTTTCTTTTTCTCTCATTTGATGATTAGAACCATAATTTCACATTATAGCTGAAACGATTAATCTGATTAATTGATTATAGTAGTAATCGATTAATCGTTAAGCAGAGTATATTTAAGATGAAAACGTCTTTGTAAATATGTTTTACCCAAAACTCAAGTGAAAGTTTTACCTAAAGGAACGTTGCGTTGCTGCATTTTAGACAATAAAATGTTTTCATATTAAAACATTTGCATCTTTTTTGTGTTAAAAAGACTCAAGTGGTTGAATGTAAAAATCATAGGATGTCCATTTTCTTTATCTGATTAATCGTCAGAATTATCTATTGCTTAAAACGATAACAGGTGAAATTCAGTGGTGTTTGCAGGTTTTTTCCTTTCAAAATAAAAGCATGTCAGTTGTGACAGCACTTCTCTGGTTATTATATTTAACTAACTTGAAATGTTTTTCAACATAATATAATAAAAATCCAAATTTCCTTCTTCTGGCATTTAAAATGGCTTATTTTGGTGATTCAAACTAAAAAAAAACATGAAAATAAATGTCGCAACTGGAGTAAAACGTTTATCATTTAGTTTGTGAAGCTGTACTGTTAACCACCATGTCAGTATTTTTTTTTTTTTTTTTTTTTTTTTAGAATTTGGGCTTTTAGGTTAAAAGTAAATATTGTAGAAATTCAAAGTAAGATTTGAGGCAAACTCAGGTTCTTGTAAGGTAAAAAAAATCTTTTTTGGGATTTTTCAGGAAAAGCAGCCGGGTCTTATTTATTAAATTTTTTTAAACAGGTGTAAGTACGGCTGGAAGGGCCAGTTCTGCGATGAATGTGAAGTTTATCCCGGCTGCGTTCACGGCACCTGCAACCGGCCCTGGGAGTGCAACTGTGAGAAGAACTGGGGCGGCCTCTGGTGTGAAAAAGGTACGCACTCTTTGTTTT